AGTCTTGTTGTTACAGTAACTTTTATGTATTTTGTTTAATTTCAACAGAAAAAAACCCTAATATTTTCCTCTCCTCAGTACTGCTGGCGTTGGACAGGCTTTAACTTTGGTTTTGACCTGCTGGTGACCTACACAAACCGTTTCATAGTCTTCAAAAGAAATACTCTGAGTCAGCCATGTGGAGGCGCTGTGAGTCTACAACCTCGAAGGCACCTGGCATACAGGTCTGTAGTGCAGTCAGCCTTTGAACATTTACGTAAAAACTGCCTGCAGTTATGTCAGTATTATGGATTTTAAATAAGCAAACTAAGATGATCATTTTGTAAACTAGACAATACAAATGATAAGTATAATTTAGGGTAAAGAGTAACTCTTCTGGAAGATGAGTTTTAAGTTTAGTAATATAGCATTTGTTGAAGTTGCTTTACAAACAAATAGAAACATACAAAGTTCAGGATGAACTAAGTTGCAACAGAACTGGCAACCTTGTAGTATTTTACTGTGTACAAATTTAATCTGATGTGGAAATAATGAGTAGTTGCTGTCATACCTCTCTAATAATTAAGCAATAATCAATTCACTGTAAGTAGTAGTCTAATCATTAATTATAATACTCTAATCTTATTTACTCACGAGATACAGCTATGTATTTCATAGATTAAAGCAGAACAACAGAAAGATGAATGCCCAAAAAGTTCTGGCAATGACATGAGTGAGTGAGAAACCTGATGGGGGAGAGATCAGACAGAACGGCGGTCACGGACTGTGTGTGCGTGTGAGAGAGAGAGAGAGAGAGAGAGAGAAAAAGAGAGAGCGCTTTGTTTCTTTAACAGCACGTTATTACTAACAAAAGGTTGTGTTTAACCTTTCTTACGGCTAGGCTAGTAGTCCCAAATACAGGACTAAGAGAGGGAGGAGACTGGAGTTGGATAAAAGAGAAATATTTATTGCGGTGTTGAAGTGATCAGGAAATTGAGCCGGGGAAGAGCGAGGCAGACTGGAATACTAGATGTTGCAAAACCAGGTTGGTGGCTGCAGTGCAGAGCAGAGGGAACTGTAGCAGGGAGTCCAGAGGCTGAGCAGAGCAGGTCCAGAACCGATCAGGGGAATATAATAACCAGGCGGGGGTCCAGAGAGAGCAGACGAGATGAGCACCGTTTCTGGTATCAGAAAGTAACAACAAGTTATTGTGTAAAATTCGCTTTTAGCTTCTTTTTTTTTTTAATAGCCTAAATGTTCACGCCATAACTGTCACACTGCAATTGTTATCACTCAGTTTAAAGTGCTCCCACAGAGAAAAGGGCTTCATTTTGTATTCCCTTTGATGTGAACTGGAACGTTACGTTCACTGCTGTGGGTGGATGTGACATGCAGGGGGAAAAAAATCAATATTCGAATCCCAAAATTTAAAATGGAATGTGTACCCTACGATCAAATATTCAAATGCTCGGTCCAGCCCTACAAGAAAGCAAATGAAAGTGTATTGTAGATTTTTAGATAATCTCAAATGATTCCTTTAAAAACAATGTGTATGTATCTTCAGCTTTAATCTAATCTGAACACCTTTACCTACCTTTTGACAATTTTTACTTGTTCAGGTTACGTCTCGCCTCCTTTGACAGCCGTGGAAAGCTGGTCTGCAGTCGCTCAACAGGTTATCAACTTCTCACCCTTGAAAAAGACCAGGTCAGTAGGCACTGTTAACCTGTGTATGTAGACAGATGTATTTTCATGTCAATATATAATAGCAGAAAATGCTGTTCTTAACTTCTTTAATATTCTTCCTTTACCTTCAATGACTCAGGAGTATGTGGTGATGAACCTGGACAGCCGGTTGTTATCATTCCCCCTCTATGTGTGCTGTAACTTCCTGTATACGTCGCCTCATTCGGACCACCGTCCAGATTCCTCAGAACAAGAAAGCACTGCTCGCAGCGTGTCTTGATGCCCATTCAGCAGCCATTAACTGCTACTATTCCTCTGGGAACTCTGGGACACTGACACAAGCTTTGTATGTACAATCCACTGCCACATTTATCATCACTGACATGACATTGGACATACCATTTGCATGCTACGTAACTCAGTAACATGTTTAGGGAAAATGTTTTGTATCTATGTAATCAGTGTTTTGGCACATTCAGAGAAATGATATATAAAATATACGTTACAGTGGCCAGGAGGGATTAGGCCACCCTTTTGCTTCAGAGCAGCTTGAAACTTTTGACCTCTGTCATGCACTGTCTGCACTGCACCATTTCTCAAGATGGTGAACCTCCACGCCTTGGGAGAGAGTGGAAAGCTGCTTTGGACTGTGCACCTCACAAATTTAAATAGTGACTACATAATGTTTAGATCTGGTGATTGTGAAGACCATGGACAGGTTTGACTTTTTGCTTATGTTAATGAAACCACTGGAATTGTTTTTTCAGTGTGAATGGGGTCATCATCCCCCTGGAAAATGGAAAGATCATAAGGGAACAGCACCAGAGGGTGAAACTAGACCTTTACTGACTCATATGGGAAGTTTCAAGCCTGGTGCTCGTACGGGCAATGTAGACTGTGGGAGCCCTTCGCTCGAAAACTTGACCAGCACAGTGCTGTTATGAGACGAGTGGACATGTTTTCCACTCCATTTTTAACCGGCACACTTTTTTGTATTGCAAGCAGATGATATGCCGCTTATACCAACAGTGTCAATCTAGACTAAAAAAAACACATTTCACATGACTTGTGACTGAATCCAAATGGAATAGGTATTTGACAATCTCTGCCAAAAAGCTGTAAACAGACTAAATTAAAGTCTGACACTGCATCTCTACCACCTGCTGCTGTTTGATTATCAGCGGAGATGGGTTCATCGTCATACCTGCACTGTTCAAGGAGCTTTCCTCACCCGTGTCGCGGTGAGAAAAGTTGCACGGTCAGTGACTACACTCAACAGACCTCACTTTTGAATTGTGTAAAATTAACTGATAGATGCAGAAAAGCAGAAGTTTTAGCCTGTGTTTTATCACTATTTAACCCTAGTTAAGTTGGACGTGTCTCCGTGCAATTCTACACCAGACCAGCTGCTGCAGGCTTCAGTCCACCACCTGCTCAGCAACCTGGAAAAATCCCAGATTATAGCCGATATGAAGTATCCCTTGGACTTTGTAAAATAGCATTTCATACAAAATTCTGTTTATAAAATCTGATATGACAAAAACTATCAAATGTCCATTTGCTGGTGTTCAGCTGGTGTCCACTGCAACTCTTTTGCAGTGCAGCTTGTCCCTGTTTGACACATTATGGCAGGATATTTAGACTGCTCCAGTCACTACAATAAGTACCTTAGCAATTATGTTGTTGTACTATTAATTAGGTCACTATTTGTTTGGATATTCTGATGTTACCTCATGCGGTTTTGAAATCCAGTAAATGTGGGGATTTTCAGCGGACATGTACTCATTTTACTCGCCTATATAGCTGCAACTGTAACTGTCATTAAGTACAAAGTTAAAGGTATTTTTGTTTGGCATTTATTTATTTTTTTACTTCATTTGTATGGATTTTTTTTGCTAAAGAAAATATGTATACAATTCTTCGGCAGCCAATAAAACCGCCCATTCACATGGGCTGTGGTGCTATCACATGATCTCTTTCTCCAACATAGGTCTTTACTACAGCTGCACAGTTAATTGTGTTTTTATGCTTCTGTGGATGTTGCAGAAGTTACTCTTCTGCCAAAATTATTATTTTTACTCCAGAATATGAAGAGAATATGGTGCCTTTTGGTGCTTACTCTTATTATTCCCTTTTCCTCTATGCTGAAGCCTGATTTCCTACTTGAGTGATGCTCATTGGGACATATTTACAGTAACATATTTGAAATACTGTCCAGCTATTTTATTCTCTTAATGTCATGTCACATCATGTTCCATATAATCCCATATGAAATTACTCTAAGCACTCAGACTACTCATAGCTCATCATTATCACCTTGTTATGATGACTAATCCTGTAATGATTACGCCTTTGTAATCCACTGACTGGCCATCTGACAATTAAGCACAAAGGTAGGGTTTCCAGAAGGTCTAAACTAAATACTGTAAGAAGCAGAGCGAGACCCCTTTGTGTATTTTCTGTCAGAGTGGCTTAAAGATCAGTGTGTAGGTGGCACAACATTTGGTTTAATTTGGCTCCGCGGTAGAGTCTGCTTTCCGCAGTAAAGTTTGAATATAATTCAGCAGTCATTTCCCCTTGCTAGATGTTAGTTTGGGTAGAAACCCTCCTTGCCTTTCGAAGAGCTTTCTTACTGTGAGTTTGGAAAGTATACTTTTATCAAGGCTGAGGCCTATCACTTGTGAATCTATATTCATATGATGTAAAGGACCTAAAACAATTGGTATTACTATTTTGTAATTATCAGACAATGCCACGGTTCCCTCAATATTATGGCTATGATTACACTACAGTAACCTTGTTCCATCTGCTGCCTGTTATTCTCAGGCTTGCTGCAATATGTTCTAGGTTACTGACATCTTGTTCTTTCACTCCCTGTGCATAGCTCGTTCTCCTCAGAGTGCTTTTCAATTCACCTTTGATTGGTTGCGTAATTGTGTAAAATTGACATTTATCATACTTTTTCTAAATGAAGAGATGAAATGGGTTGTGGGATTTACATCAGGTCTACTGTGTGTTTACTACATCTTGTATTTGTTCATGTACAAAGTTCTCCTGCAGTTACTCAGACTGCTACTGCAGAGAGTGTTCCCTTACTTGTACCATTATTTGTATATTTTGAGAATATTATTTTGCAGCCATTAAAATGTGTCACAAAAGCATCATGAGCATCTGTGGTTGCCTTGTCTCAATACTCGTAAGCAGAGCTTATGTTGACATTATGGAGGTAGTACAGTCCAAAAACAGATACAGCTACAGTACTTTTAATTCAGATATAAACATCTCTCACCATGAGGTCAGACAATTACAGAACTCAAAAATTCAATGACAACAAAAACAACAATGAGGGATGAGAGGGCTCATATTGGAGAGAAACTTCAAATTAAATATGGCAGAGAAGAGTTAAGGACATGTACAACGTTATGCATGAATAGATGCACCATGTAAACCATGATGGTTTAAAACAAATGCACTCTTAAAAGCATTTTGGAGCTAGAATCTTGTTCATACGCAATAATGTGACACCAGGTGCATCACTGGATTTTTCTTGCCGTCAGCTCCCAGTCCCTGGGGAGGTTAGTTTGTAGATCACACATAGTATGCTAGCACATGTCAGTGAGCAGTTTTAAATCTCCACAACACCAAAATTCAGAGTCATAGGCTCTAAAACTTGTCAAAACTATCTTTTGCATCACATGATCCATTTTAATTAAACTTAACTCTCCCCACCCTTTCATGGTGTTCCAGCCCTCTAATTCTTCAGCTGTTCCCGGTCGAGTTGGCTGAGTGCTGTATGGGTGTGTAAAGAGCTCAGGCTGTTTACAGCACGGACTACAGCCACCCTCACTTCTCTATAGAGTCCAGATTCTCTTTGAGTCTTCGGGTCATGCTCGGGATCAGGTTAATGTGGTCGTCGACACAGCTGCCCACACAGCCTTCCATCAGTGACCGAACGGCTGGCTCCTTGGCGCCGGAGTCAAAGAGATCCTTTGCCTTATCGTTGCAGTGCATCGTGCATCTGGTCAGACGGTCCTGAGGGGGCAACGAGGAGAGAAAACACAACTTACACTTACTACAAAAAACAGATAAGTCTATATGTATAATAATAATACTAGGAAAGAATGAGTATTTAGATGTACTTAAAATATGTAACCCATTACATAAGTCTTTGAAAGACCATTTTCCTCTAAGTTTTCTGTTGCCCTCATCAACCCTTTCTTTTTGCCTGAAAATATAGTTGAAAAAAACAAAAGTGACATTGTTTACTACTGGAGCCCCAGGTGATTACTCAGTTTAAAAGATTATTTTGCAAGCTGAAAGTGTAGGGGAGATGAGAGTACATACTGTGGATATTTGTTACAGTATTCTGTCTAAAACATTATATTTTAGGACTGGCCAATCAGAAAATGGGGAAGTTCTGTATTTAAAAAAAAGGCTTTTCCCACGTGAATTACAGTACTTATGTCAATATAAAAATTTATTTTCTTTGACTTGATGTCATAAGTCAGAAAAAATATAGAATATTTGAGTGTAAGTAAATAGAAAAAGACTGGTTCCAAACTGAACTGCTTTGCATGGGAAATACACTACACATAACAGAGACATTAGTTTACTGAGAATGGTGGACATCATTTGGACTTTAGACATGATTGTCAACTGTGTGTTATGTTGATATTTCTGTATAAATGTATAATGAATAAATGTAACCTTCCCAACAATTGTTGTTAAGTTGTAGTTTCAATAGCACTGTCTGCTGCAAGACTCAATTACCAACTGAGCAAAGTGGCCCCCAGACACTCAAGGGCCGCAAAAAGCCCCAGGTTCACTGTTTATATACTTTGTGTTTTTTGATTGAATGCGATAATTTTTTGTGAATATGGACCACAAAATTACAATATAAACTGATGACAAAATGACAAGGGGCTTCAAACAGGTCCCGAATTGTTACCCAATAGTGATGCCTGTCTAGCTTAACGGCCTGTTTTAATATTTGATTGTGCATATTCCATCTGTTTAATTTGTTTACATTGACACATTTTTACCACAGTATAACCCACCCACTTGGGGTCCCATAGAAACCCTAAGTAGGTTAAACCAGCCATGGTCTGTGCAGGTTTGATTAAGATGATTATATTCCCTCTATTATAATACATGCCATACTTAAATATAGCCTTGTCATTGAAAGGATGCTGGAACAGCTGATGCTTGTGACCTGGCAACCTAAAGACTTTTGAAAATGCCACACACTCACATGTTGAAGGGGAAAGAGGAGATCATGTCCCTCACCTGAAACTTCTCCAGCTCTGAGGTGACCAGTCCCTGAGCTCTGGCCAGAGGAGTGTGACACCTCTCGATACACTGATGCACCTGAGACATGGAGTCTGTGGAGCGATCACAGCACTGTGCACTGCAGCTGAACATGCGACCCTGCGGCAACAACACACAGTTAAGACATGTGATGGATGTACATGGCTGCAGAGATCAGACTGGTAAACAAGTGGGTGGTAAACAAAGCACTGCATGCACACCCCACGCGTCCACAGACAAGACACATACTTGCATTTTACGGATGTGCTCCCTCTCCAGGCTTTGGACCATGTCTTCCACCACAGTCTGCATGCGTGCCTGATGTGCCTCTGCCATCTCTGTCCGTCCTGCTCACTCAGCAACCTCTTCGCTAAAATTTACAACAAGTTTAGCATCTAAACCGGACTTACGACGTGTATCTGCAAAGCTCTCCCCAAGTGTCTGTACTTAACAATGTTATAATAACTAAGGTCACCTCCATTCAAGCATGGCTCAAGATGAGAAGACGATTACACCACTTCCGCTTTGCTTCCGCAATCGAGTTTGTTAAAAAAAATATCCTGTTCCGTTTTCTGTGGTCAGACTTTAATGAGATTTCCGATTTTAGTCCACCAGCAGCATTGGAAAAACACTGAAATATTCTCAATATTTTTGCGATAAATTACAAGAGATACTAAATTCTGCTCAGCGACTAAAAAGTTTTTTTAAAAAGGCACATTAAAAAGGGCTCAGGGCACAGATCAATTGACCTTTCAAAATAAAAGAACACTGAAACATTAACTGGATTTTAAATATATGCTTCTACCATAGACTGTATATACTATTGTATTCTACATTTTCATAATCTGTTTAAATTTCTTGACAACATTATATGTCAAATGTTAACTTTTGAAAGGTAACTGCAGCATGATCTTTGATGAGGCTCACCTCCACTGTAAAAACTATGGTTGTACCACAAGGTATTATTGTGCTTGTCCCTTATTTACAGACCTTTAATAATAGTACTCCAATACAGGCTTATGATAGACATTATTTATGCAAATGACACAGTCTTATATATATTATATTCGGCTCTTCTCCATCTCAAGCCCTGTATAAATGATAGTTTGCCTTAGTAAATATTCGGACATTTCTGAATTTCTTCTGAATGAATGAATATAAGTACGATTTTATTCTTAAGAATCAAAAATTCCAGCTTATATGTCACTGCCATTCTTAGCCTCAATGTTACTGATGTTGAGTTTAGTTGTCCTACCTTAAATATTTAATAAATCATGTTTTTCTCTTAAAGATGAGAAAACCATTGTATGGTTGGCAACCAAGTCCTCTCGTTCAACTTGATGCATTTTATCATCGTGCCAGGATATAAATATTACACTGAAGAGTTAAGCTGGCCCTCACTAGCAAAAACAAGAGAACTACACACTATCATTTTATGTTTAAAAAATCTACACTACTACTATTCACCATACCTACTCAGGACTGGCAAACCTCTTGATACCGCACATGTTTGAAGCCCCCCTCCCAAGTAAAAAATGTGTCACTTGTATATTTGACCTTCACAGTGCAGAATGAGCTATACGCAGACTCTGTGCTCACCTTAAATCTGAGTTTCAGCCATCACCCCTTGTGTCTAGCAGTTAATATTTTGAAAGGAAACATATTTCAGTATTGAGTAGAATTTTACTACTATTATCTAACTATTATCTGGGGGGAAAAACATCACAGCAGGGCTTTCTGCAGGCTATGCCTTATAAACATGTCTTGAGATCTTTAACTTTGGGTGATATGACTGACTGACTGATATACATTTAGCTGACGCTTTTATCCAAAGCGACTTGCAATTGCTATTTATATCAGGTCGCACACCTCTGGAGCAACTAGGGGCTCAGGGACACAACGGTGGATGGGTCACAGTGGGAATCAAACCCAGGTCCCTCACACCAAAGGCATGTGTCTAATCCATTGCGCTATCACCTCCCCATATGATTATATTACCTGATTAAACAAAAGATATATAGGCTATGAGGCAATGTTAGGATATTGTAAAATAAAGATAGCAACCTTCTTATCTTGTCATCTTTGCAGACAAAATTAAACGAAATATATGCAGCTTTACAAGGAATTATTGTTAACTGTCCTCAGTAAATGTGTGTAGGAGATTTAGTGAAGCGTTTGCATTTACTAAGCTTTTATTGTGAAAGTCGAATGTAAGCGTGCCCGGAAGTGTGTTGCAATATTTAGAGACGTTCACGGTGCTCCGACGTGACCAAACTGTAAAACAACTTTAGTTTGTTATTGTCTCTTGTAGTCTCCTTGTGCTTTTTATTGACAGTTCAGTTGTCTGTTTAAGTAGATAGGGGGACGTCTTCCCGGGCGACGAAGTTATCTTAAGTGTAACAGTAATTGTTAACGGAACTTTCACCGTCATCTGTTAACGGCTAACGTTAACGTCACTTCTGGATCAACAGCAGCCCTCCTGTTGTGACATTTGACATAACGTTAGTGAGTCCTCGCCGTCCACTGTACCACTGAACACTTATCAGTTTAAAATATTAGACATGATAGCGTTGGCCTCGGCTGTATAAAAAGTTATGTATATATTTACTTTGTTATTCTTTGCGTGAGTCTGAAACCCTGTGAGTGTAATCTTTGACCCGATCGTGACTGTTGACTGGAAGTCATTAGCGAAACTGATCATAGATCGTGTGTTTTCCTCTTGTACAGATGTCCTACTAGATGCCTAGAATGAATCCACGAACCCTGTCACTGAGAGCCCTGCTGTTACTGGGGCTTTGGCACACTGGGAGAAGAAGTCTAGCCTCAGCCCCAGAGCTGCAAGATCCGCCCAAAAAGATAGGTAAGCCAGTCCCAGGGTGCATGTAAAAACCCAGAAGCCCTATTTTCTGCAACTACTTTCTCAATTTGTTCTGATGTTTCCATCCTCTATCAAGTTTGCTTCACTGGGGGATAGATGAGCATTATCCTCCCCAGGATGCTTAGAATAGAGGGTTCATATATATATTTGTGGGTGAGACCTCACTTGGATCTCAACCATCTCAACCAACCACAACTGCTTGACAAAAGTTGTCAAGTCAATTAACATAACACTTACCAAAGAGAATATCATCATTTGCATACATTCTATAATATTATATTTGAGTAAATTAGATAGTAATAGTTATTTGGTGGCACTTTCAGTAAAATACCCTTAATGCTAATTCTAATCCTGTAGTTCCCAGAGGGAAGATTGTCAAATTCATTAGTACAAGGTAGATTTATTTGTCATTGAGTTGTAAAATGAGATTCACTGCTAAGAAAAGGAGGAGGAATAAAGCAGCCCCAAATCTCTGAGCAGATAGCGTGAATTGGATTGACTCATAAACACATGCATTAAGCTCAAAAGAAATGAGCCTGTTGCAAGGTTGGTTTACTCTGTTGTCATTGCTCCTTTAAAGCTGTGGTCGGAGCAGGCATTGGTGGTACAGCTGCAGCGTATTACCTGAGGCAGGAGTTTGGAGCGGCGGTCAAGATTGATGTGTTTGAACCTGGCGCAGTTGGCGGGCGACTAGCAACAGTAAAGTTAGGAGACTATGAGTATGAGATGGGAGGCTCTGTGATCCATCCTCTGAACCTACACATGAAGCACTTCATTGAAAAATTAGGTAAAATCAACATTTCCCTAAATAAATACTAAATACATGAGTAATTAAACCATAATTAGTATGCAATCGAGTATATTTGAAACAAGCTTCCTGTTTTGTTTTTTTCAGGTATTCCTCAGAGGACAGATGTCCCCTCTAAAATGGCAATCTTTGATGGAAAGGAGCTCACGTTTGAAGAGAGTGACTGGTTTATAGTGAATTTCTTGCGCATACTCTGGCGATATGGGTTCAACTTTCTTCGAATGCAGATGTGGGTGGAGAGTATTTTGGACAAATTTATGAGGTGAGAAAACGGTTGTCATGGCTTCAAAACCTCGTTCTTTTAGCACGAGAGCCTGGAATATCAACACAGAGTTGCTGTTCCTTGTACTGTTGGATGTTTTGATCAGTCCTTTTATTCGCAGGATCTACCAGTACCAGCAGTACAGTTACGCATTCTCCAGTGTGGAGAGGCTCCTGCATGCCATGGGTGGCGATAGTTTTCTTACCCTAGTGAATCAGACCCTGGAGGAAGCGATGATGGGCGAAGGATTTTCGCAGATCTTCCTCAACGATGTCGTTGCACCCATCACCCGTGTCAACTACGGCCAAAGTGTCCGCATCAATGGCTTCGTGGGTATGTTTACAGTGTACGAGTTCGTACTGGTTCGTCACCTCTCACTAGAGCAGCGCACTTAACAAACACTGGCTGACAATGACTTTCACCCAGGAGACAGCGTGTCCAGCGTGAAACCAAAAGTCAACGTTGACTTAGTTTAACTTACGGACGTAGGATAACTTACTTTATGTATATACCTTAACTGACTTAGCTAACCCAAAGCATGACTGTTTCCTAAACCTAACCAAACTGCAACCATTTCATGTTAGACACATGCCTTTGGTGTGAGAGATCCAGGTTTAATTCCCCACTGTGACGCACATCCACCAATGTGTCCCTGGGCAAAACACTGAACACCTAGTTGCTCCAGAGGCATGCAACCTCCAAAGCAATTGCAAGATGCTTTGGATAAAAGCGTCAGCTAAATGAATAAATGTAATGAAGCAGTTGTTGATCACGTGGAGTCAGTCAATGGCGGTATAAAATAGAGCAGTCACTAACATGTGTTTTCCAAATATTGTGAATCACTGCATCCGTGAGAGGTCCTTGAGCATACAGTCATGAATGTGCACAAAAAATATTAAGCTGAGGGCTGCAGTAGTAGAGATTAGCTGCGGACATCTGGTGGAGATAATAATACCTTGGTACTGGATGTCCTGTCTTCTAGGGGCAGTGTCATTAGCAGGAGCAGACTCAGGCCTGTGGGCTGTCGATGGAGGCAATAAGAGAGTGTGCTCAGGTCTGTTGTACCACAGCAAAAGTGAGCTCATCCCTGCCAAAGTGACCTCCATTTCAGTCAAGGTTCGACCATCCAAGACAGGTACCTTTCACATTCATTTGGTACAGAACCGGTCATTTTCTCTCACTTCTCTTCTCATGTGTGTGTTCACATTTTTTCACTGTCAAACATTTTATCCTAACTTCCCTCCGTCTCCCGTTTTCAGGCACCACGGCCAGTTTCTACGAGGTGAATTATGTTGGAGAATCCGGCTCAGCACACTCTCTGTACGACATAGTGGTAATAGCAACACCGCTTCACCAGGGAAAGTCTGACATCAGCTTCCCAGGCTTCTCCCCTCCAATCCCATCTCACTACCCTGGGCGTTACCACCAGACCGTCTCCACTCTGGTCCACGGCCTGCTGAACATGTCCTACCTCGGGACCACACAGCCGGCCTCCGAGTTCACCGTGTCCGAAGTCCTCACCATGGACTCAAAGGACTCTGTCATCAACAGCCTTAGCTCTCTCGACCCCGTGCACATCCCCAAGGGTTACAAGCGACCCCCTGCCAGCCAGACCAAAGTGTGGAAGGTGTTCTCCCAACAGCTGCTGTCCCAGGAGCAGTTGCAACACATATTCCTCTCCTATGATTCAGTGTCCGAGATGCCATGGCTGGCTTATCCTTCTTACCACCCACCGCACCGTAGGACCCCTCCCTTCATCCTGCACGACCGGCTGTACTACGTCAACGCTGTGGAGTGGGCGGCTAGTGCCATGGAGATGAGCGCCATCTCTGCCAGAAACGTGGCCCTGCTGGCACATCACCGCTGGCACGGACAGAACAGCAAGATCGACCAGGAGGACCTGCACACCCGGCTGAGAGGGGAGCTCTGAAAAGGGAGAACCAAAAGCAATAAAACCCTATCAATCGAGTATAAACCCACATGCCCGTAATAACACTCCTGTCAGCGCGAAGCCCATCTCTGTAATCAGGTATCTGGGATGCTCTGACCTCTTTAAACATAAACAACATAGTCCTGGTCATCGTTTCTACCTTTTACTAATCAACGTAATTGCTGAGATCTGGGAAGCAGTCAAACAGCTTGTAAACAGCAGTTCAACCAGATTATCAGGACCGCTTTTTTTGGAAGTAGATAATCGCTCATTGCACAGAAAAACTGCCTGCGCGCACACAACAACTTCAAATATGATATTTTAAAGTTGAACCAGGGAGTCGTTCTGTAAACTGTTGGTTGTTTATCATCTCTTCCATGCAAGTCTGGCTAACATGGGGTTTTGTTTCCTTTTTATTTTAACAATGTCTCAGCTTTCCCAGATCTCAGCAGGTAACTTGGTGAGAGTACATTGGGGGAAAGATGAAAAAAAAAAACAAAAAAGACCAACCGGCAATATCCTTTAATCACCCTAACAGTATCCAAAGTTCTCCATTCACCAGCAACAGCAGCACAAATTACATTATAAGGTGGATCAACATTGCACTGTGCTGAATTTTGTAATCACTGAACCATGCTGCACTGCAGGATAGACACACATTAGGTGTTCCTCTGTCTACACGAGTGTCTTAAATACATGTATTTTTAGATTTTGTTATGTGCATTTCTGCTGTTATGAACACAGTACAGCTAACGTCTAGGAAATCAGCTTTTTGGCCAACCTTCTTTAGCCAAAATCTTGCGTAATGTTTGTCAATATAGATATGTTCTTGTCTTGATTGATTTCTCAGTCTCTCTACCTCTGCAGCAGCCCACTGTATATGTTTCAGCTGCCAGCAAGAGAGTCACGCCACCAAGACATGTTCTTTGTAAATCAGATGTCGTTGATGTGAGTTATGAAAACTATAAACAAGTCCATTTTTTTCCCCGTACAATTTGATATTAATACGACTATTATCTAATCACACTGACGAGGTAACAGAATTCAGCATTTTAAAACTAAGATTGTGCCTTAAAGATATCAGAGTAATTGGTTTACATCTTTATTAGATGATAAGCCTCCCTATAATTTTAGACATCTTTTGTCCCTCAGGTGTCTTTTTTTTTTTTAACGATGTGAAATTTGCCATCGGGTCAGGCACCAGGACCAAACTGAAAAGAGTATGATGCGTTTCTGTATTTTGTTGTAATATATGGAGGAGAATCTATTTTCTGGACTGTGATTTATCAGATGTGGCTTGGAAGTACTACTTTGATCACTTTCATGTTCTTCAGCCACTTTCGGAAGAAAAGTATAGTTTACTAATTGTTTCTTAAGCACTTTGAGAGGTGTATTATCCTAGATGTTTGAATGAAGTTTTCTGGTCACGAGTATATGCTGTACTGTAGCAAAAATATGTAATAAATTGTGAAATTAATTTGATAAGTCCCGTTTGAAGAAGCATGTGGAGTATTTAGACTGGCTTCTTCTGCACAAATAAAATGAGGCCTTTCATTACAAATCTAAACTTTTGATGTACGCTTGAATTTGATTTCAAACAATACTGAACCCCCCCCCCACACACACACACACACACACACACTGTATGTTTTGCAAGTGTTTACAGTCACAATAAAGTGATGAGACCTTTTCTGCTTTGTGCTCTTATTTGACATTTTACTCAAAAGCATTCAGCTGAAAAGAAAAAGGCCTGATGAAGTTTTGTTTGAATCCCACCTCAAGACATACTGCACCCATATCAATCTCACTTTGCTCCGTAGATGAAGTGTGTGATGGTGATGTTTATGACTATTTTAATCTAGTCTTTATATTAGAATCTCTTACCCAACTTGTGCTCTTGTTTTGATTTCTTTCTATCTCTTTTCACTTTAAAATCCATTTTACTTTCACACTATCCTCATTCAGGTTGTGAGAAATGTGAAATGTTCTCGAATGCTTTTAGTGACACATTAAGAACAGAGGAGACGAGTGGAATAGCAGCAGCTGTTTGCTTTCTCTCTGTGATCTGCATGATTAATTGAGGAATTGTCTTACTGAGTGACATTGTGACCCATCATTCATAAGCCAAGGATGTGCAGTGAGATCAGTTTCCATTGCTAAAAGGAAATTAACATTGTTTTCAGCTTGGATGCTAGGACTCCCATTTGTTTTTGTTGGGTTTTTTTTTAAAATCAGACACAGTAACATCCTAAATAAAGGCCCGTGTGACTGAAGGGCCAACAATGGGTGGCATTGACGGCCTGAATAAGGATACGTCTGTGTGGTGATGTGCCACCCAGCTGTCCCCTCAGGTAGGGAGGGACAATGGTACCAGAGCCGCCTGTCCATGCAAAGCATGTGATGTGACTGAAGATATAAGAGGCTGTAAACTGACAACACCCCAGATCTTCCTCAACCAGACCAGCAGCCAAGATGAGATTCCTAGTGCCGCTATTTGTTTTCCTCACTGTGGCAGCGTTTCACTCTGGTAAGGAGTATAAATGCTATGTTTATGATTTTCAAGGGAGTAAAAATGTGACAGTAATTTACATTGATGGAGGTTGAGTGGTTATAATCTGATGACAAAATGTTTTTTGTTTTGTTTTTATATATATTTGCTTCATAATGTGTATGAGCGTGGTGAAGCTGCATTTAGTCATAGTGCGATCCACTGTTGGAACAAACTACCAGAAGATGTCAGGTTTTCCCCAGCTGTAACTATTATGAAAAAAAGGCTTGATATTTCTTTACATCTGCTTTTAATTGAAATTGTACTCTCCGTTAGAGTTTCACTTTATACTTAAAAATGTTTTACTTTTATCTGTGTCTTTTTAAACTTCTTTATTTTTAACACCTCGAGCCTCCTCTGTGTATGAAACATACTATATGAGTAAAGTTACCCTGCCGTGACTGTGCCACTGTAGAAAACTCATTGTTGTTCATTTACAGATTAACTACGTTAGTTTTTCAGTTATACATTTATTCATGTACTTATGACTTCTAGCTCTCTCAGCATCTTTGGAATCTTCAGAGGAAGAAGTCACTCAGCACGGTGAGAAATTGTTAGCTATAATAAATGTATCAACAATAATAATAATTATGTAAGAGATATTATATGTGATATGTGTCGAAAACGATTTCAACCCAAATGTCTTGTTTTTTTTTCATGCAGATGGGCTAACTGAACTGCAGAAAATAGGTACAATGCAGGGCTCCAGTTTGATATGTTTCATTATGGTTTATGTTCATGTCTGTGTGTGTGTTAATTAACCTGGCAGCATGAGTGGCTACATTTTCATTTCTTTTATGACACAGGGAAACTGACCGGTTCTTAAAGCCACCTACCAGACAGTTTTGAGAATTTATTTAGTTATGTTTATGAATTTATCTATTTATCTGTAACACTTAATGTCTTCGCTTTCAATATTACACAAACTGTTTATTTTCTCGTTTGGCTCTGTCCTCTCAGATCAGATGGAGTTTCAGGCCGCTCAAAAGAATGAGCCGGCTCAGATGAACAGTAAGTTTGACCAAAGTCCAGGGCTATGACCTTAAACCGAAATTAGGTAACTTCATGGACAAATATACCTTTAATCCACTTTTTTTTTCTTTTTTTTTTTTACCCTTTTAGTTACAGAGGAACAGAATGAGGACACCCGCTACCTTGGTAAGAGTAACCATACTACCTATGACCTCATTGAAAACTAATAACGTCTGATGAAGGTGCAGTTGGTGATGTAGTCTTTTAAATCTTTTTGATACAGAGGCTGCTCAAAATGGATCTGGTAAGTTATACTCAATCACACAATGGATACCTGAACACGTATTGGCTGTGTTAGAATGACCTATTGAACTGTTTCCAACAGTGGAGGAGCATATTGAAGTGGAGAATGACAACACAGGTATGTAAAAAAACAACATCCTGCTGGCTTTATTAACACATGATCCTTCTGCACCTGACATTCAGCATTACATTAACTGTGAAATCCTCCTCCAGCAGAGGGAGCTGGGAACTCTGACCTTGCGGCTCATGAAGGTAAGAGAGGTTTTACTGTTCAAATAGTAGCCTGTAGATGGCAAAGAAGGACAAAAGTCTGAAAAGAACTGGATCTCACAGGACACAGAGTTGTAAAATATCATCTTGTGGCTGATTTCTCTCCAGTGTTAACCACAGAATCAGAATCCTCTGAAGAAGCACAAGGTGAGTTTTGGACATAAGGTTTCAGCACAATAAGGCTGTAATTTCATCTTTTGTCATTCTAACAGTCTTTTAGATTTTTTGTTTACGAAGATAGAGATGGGAAAACACTACAAATAATAATTATTAAAGCACTGCATTATGAGATGTGACTAATTGCACTGTTTTCTTTTTAAACTAGTTATCCTCATTATTCATGAATGTTAAATAATATTTTCTGTTCTAAACTATTTGAAGAACTTTAATTTAGACTTAAAGACAGATAGTACACAACTGTTTAATGGGATATGAAAGATTATAAATGTCCAGTTTTTTTGTTTGTACATTTCAATGTCTTCCCAGAGCACCACGAGGCGGTGACAGAGACTGTGAGCAGTTCGGGTAAGTTTAAGTAAAATGGCCACTCACTATGTGCTTATGAATCCCACACTGTAATTACTTGCTGTAACTCCCCATTTCCCCATTTTCTCCTCTGCAGATGAAGTCAGTCAGGATTCAACCAGGGAACAAGGTGAAAATTTCTAAATGCTACACACATACATCAGTGATGATTTACCATAAAGATCCACCTAAACAGCGGATGAGTTCAGTCATGACATTTTTTTTGAGGACTCCTTGTACCTGCTGAGGCAATCTGTGCTGAACTGTTTTGAGCAACACAATGAAAGTTAAATTGTAGGTTGTGCAATGATAGCTGGTCATAGCCAGTCTCAGCTAGATTTAGACCTTTATAGGTTAGGTTCAGCGTCACGTAAACAGTAAAATGCCTCAAGAGCAATTACACATGTACAGCTCAGCAGCTTGTAAAAACTCTAAAACTGTTGTCATATTTCATGTATCGAAACAGTCAAAACAAAACTTGTTCTGGAGATATTCAAATCACTCCAATGATAAAAATGATAGAATGATAAAATCTGTTTACTGCTTTACCTCTAAATAAGATGCTAGGATTGTTTATTTCAACACAGTCTTTGTTGTATGCAAGTAAATCTAGGACAAGAATCCAGGGCACTCCGAGACGTCTGTCCCCAGGTGCTTATTGTGCTTGATTTATACTGTATCATCTGCTTCTGGTTATTTTAAGACCAAGGATGCAGTGCCCCTGCCCTAAAAGATGCTGAAGTGATTGTTTTAAAATTGATCCAAGGTCACTGAATTTTCTGATTCTGTGGTTAGAAGTCATTTTTTGTGAGAATGAAAACCTTCATGCACTGGTGTAAAAAGACAAAAGCAACCTGTAGCAGTACACCCCGATCCTTTGGGGACAGAACAGGCCTCGCTTTGTGCTTTATCGCAGTAAAAGGACACACTAGAGCACTCATCATCCATCAGTATCTGCGTAATAGGAGTGAGTCATATGAGGAAAAACCTAGAGGATGTGATTTATATACTACCTGGAAAACTACTGAATTGTGGTGTTTGCAATGTAAAGCTAGCGTAAAGGAATCCTTTCTGTCTGTCCCTGCGTCACAGATGTACTGGAGGAGTGAGAAAACATAGCAGCATGCCGATCCCAACACTCACTCATCACCCGGTGCCTGAGCTGCACTGAGCTTACTGTCAAATAAATGGGAACTATTCCACCTATCTGTACAGCTTGTCTTTTGTTTTGTATTATATGCTATGGAAAAGTGCTTCTGTTATGCAGTATTTCATTATTGCATTTTGGGACACAAAGACAAGTTTGATACCAGTATTTTCCCATTTTTATTTGCTTTTTTGTTTTGTTTTTTTAAATCCAACAGTGTGGACTAGAGTATGTTGATGTGCATTTAAAAAACAAAACCCTATTTTCTTTGGTACCTAAGGGAAAATAAAACAAATAAGGCAACTACAGCATCTATAGGTCTGAAATGCATTTAGTTCTGCAGCCCAGTGACCAAACACTGTTGGCATGCAACATATGTCTGCTGTCATTCAAATACGAGACCAGATCAGCTCAACATCAAACCACCCCATTAGATAACTTCCAGTTTTAGGTTTTTTGTTCCTCCTGATTTACAACCTTATTCAGCCTCTGAGGCTAAAGGAGAAAGAGGCAAGCTAGAGCAAACTAAATGTCTGGCCAGGTACAAATTCACAGAAAAAAAAAAAAAAAAAAATACTTGGAAGTGGCTGATCCAAGTGAACTAGAAAAACCAGGCTGAAGCAGGCCTAAAGCATTTAACCATCAAGGATGATGCAATCAAGTTTTAACAGGAGACTTAAGGTCTTGTTTGAGAGCATGTTTTTGCATCATTTGACATTCTGGTTTGTTGCAGTTCTCAAATTAAAGTAACCATGTTATTTCAGGCAGATGTGTGTGCGCTGATCAAGAATGTAGAGCCTCAAGGGATTCACATGAAACACCTGGATCACAGATATTTCACTGACTTAAACTATCAGGGCGTTGTCATTTCCTACCAGAAGTGTGCTGACTTTTTATGCTAATGATACAGTATTTCACATATCATTCTGCAGGTGGTCATCCAGTGCGTACGATTCGTGCTTCTACCATTGTAAATTACTCCGATGTGTGTGTCACATAGATAAAACTGCAGTGCTGTTAATGTGATCGCATAATTTAAAGTAATGGTAGAAAACACTGTAACCAACCTCTCTGAATTTAGAGTTGAATGTTGTTCTATAACAAGAGGAAAAGTAATGTCCCAGTTTAGGGGATACAAGGAAGCCAAATGCAAAACATGAATTCATTAATAAATACTTTGAACTGGCGGAAAACACGCACATGCACACCAATAACCTCATTCCTCACCTAAAAATCCACATTACTTTCAGCATGTGTTATGACTGGAGTTACATCTGCAAAGGCTAATACTGCATTTTAATTGTTCATTTCTTTCTAACATAACAAAATTAAAAAGAGCATGGTTGTATACACATAATTGCTAAATAAGATAAATGGAAGATTCAGTATTAGAAAAAAAGAACAGTTGATGCTTTTAGATTAACTCTTTACAGAATGATGAGATATGAAAAAGCAAGTCAGAATAAAGAAATGCAGGCTTCCCCTGGAAGTAATGTTGCCCAACTAGAACAAACAGCAAATTCTAGGTTGAAAATGATGCAGCCAAGAACCACAGGCCCATATCACAAGTCCTTCCAAACATTTCTATTTTTTTTTTTCCTTTTCTTCCAAAGTTGTTGGCTTGAGGTAAGCGATATATTTTGGCCTTCCTACTCCTTTCCGTCTGGTGCCACTGGAGCGGTTTCTTTCTCCTCCCCTGCTTGGGGTGCGCCCAAATACTCATAGGATGCCATAGATGAAGATTGCCATGATGGCGGCACTGATCAGGCCAGAAATGGGCACCGTCACAAACCAAGCCATGAAGATGTTTCTGAACAGACGCCAGTCTACGGCCTTCTTTGAGCGCAGCCATCCTACTGCAACCACAGAGCCCACCTGGAAACACAGCAGTTGTCATAAATCCAATCATCTTCCTCAAATTTTGAGACTTTAAATTGTCGCCTGCATACCAAAAATATAATATCTTACTGAAGAGAAAGTTGCTCCACATTTGGCCTATGCATCAGACTGGGTTCCTGTTTAATGTAGCTTCCCTCACACTAAAAATAATCTCTTACCGTGTCTCAGTCTAGCTCCCAGACCACAGTGTTTGACCAGCTTACCTTGCAGTGGGTGGTGGAGACAGGCAGGCCAATGTTAGAGGCTACCACGACAGTCAGGGCTGAGGCCAGTTCGATGCTGAAACCACTGCAGGGGAATAACAACAACAACACTGTCTTAGGTGGATGTGTCTGAGACTTGTAATATCTGAGGAGGATGTGGTTTTATGGCTAAGGAGAAACTGATTCTGCACAGTCTATACCTTGAGGGCGTGATGGGGGTAAGGTCCTTGCCCATAGTCTGGATCACTCTGCGACCCCACACCCAGAGTCCAGCGCAGATGCCAACGCCACCATACAGCAGCAGCCAAATGGGAGTGGGTTCATTTGAAGTCACGCTACTGGTTGTGTAAACTAGCCACAGAGCTACCAACGGCCCAATGGCGTTACTGCAGAGGAAACAATGAGGTTAGGAAAGATGCTGACTTTGAGTTGAATTGTGATAAGTAAAAATGTCAACAGCATGTCAAGTATCAGGTTGATTAAAATGATCGTGAAGGAATCTGCATACCTAACATCGTTTCCTCCATGGGCAAAGGATCCGAAACAGGCGGTGAGAATTTGGAGGAACTGGAAGAGAGTCGCTACTTCTGGCTTGTCTGCTTCAAGGCCATCATCATCCAGAGAGGTTTGGCTGCTACCTGCATCCTCCTTACCCATTTCTAGTGTCACATCACTCTCTCCCAGAGCTTCAGGAGTCGTGTGCTCTGCCACAGCATTGCAGTAGCTAGTGTAACTGTCCATACGCACGCGCTTCCTGTCCTGACCACCTGACACTGGGCCCTTGTCGCCATCCTCGCTGGCACGATATTCCCCTTCTTTGTGCTTGAAGTCTCCGTGCATGCCAATGATGGCCATGGTGTAGGAGGTGTAGCTGTTGTTGCGTCGGATAGGTCGGTCGCCCCCCTCGCCCATGCAGTCACCAACCTTGGCCAGGTGGAGCTTGTGCAGTAGGTCCTTGTAGAGGCCAGAGTCCTTGTGGACCGTGTGGTATTGGCTGTAACCGTTACTTGGAATCTGCGCCGGCCTGTTGTTGAACTGAGGGTGGTTGTTGAATTGGACCTGATTGGGAGTATTTGCGGAGCCATTGCTGTGGTGGACTTCCTGGTTGTTGACTTGGACCTGACTGACTGATTCAACTTGTTTAGGAGCTGCAGAAAGGGGTACCAAAAAAATAAGCATAGTATTAAAGTCTTAAGTTGTAGCAACTTCATGTGTGTCATTTCATGAATATCGACAGTACAGAGTCACTTCACCATTGCATACCATTAATCTACATAACCATATTACATATAGATCTACAAACAATGTTGTTCTTTGCACACTTACCACCATTTGCAATGCTGTAGTCCGTCTCATCAGAATCTCCAATGTCAAACGCCACCTTGCGTTCCTTATTGTCAAGATCATCAGAATCTCCGATGTCAAACGCCACCCTCCGCTCCTCAGGGGCAGCCTGGGGCTGAGCAGAGGGGCTTTGATTGACAGCTGGGGTGGTGGGCATAGAGGTCTCCTTGGCAGTCTGTTTCAGGATTGGACAGTGGGCCTCTCTTAGCTCCCTCTTCTCCATCAGGGGGCTCTCTGAGGGGCTGGAAGACTTGATATCTCCTAGTAGGGGGAGGAGCTGGTATGAGATATTGCTTGGGAGATGTCCAAACATATACACAGTACAGCAGAAAAATACTAGCACAGCACGTGTTTCCTTCAACCTATGCTTTAGGGAGTGTAAGAACTGCATAAGGAGAGAAAAACCTTTTGTCCTATATATGAAACGTTACCACTGTTCAAAAGTGAGCCTGTACTCACAGGAGCAGAAATGGATTATGAACTTACAAGGAACATATTTACATTACCGCTAGCGGCTTGACTTCTGAAAGACGATAAGACTCCACACAGCCTGTGGCTCACATGACAATTGTTTGTTTAAAGTGAATCAGATACTGAGTGCCATTATATAATAATATATTCTTATTATGAGATAATCCTATGAGTCTTCTGACCAGTTGGCCACATTGCATGATCCTAACTGTTCAAAGCTGAAGGTGAAGCAGTCAGTAACCTTCAGTTTTCTCCCCACACATGCACTGCAAGTGCCATGTCAACACCTTAAGTCAACCTATTTTAGTCAAGGGGTAAAGACCAATTAGTGGATCACTTTGACCCAAATTAGGCTGCTTGTCTACTCAATGGTGGCTGATCTAGACAGATGATACATGGTCAGATAAACCTGCTGTTTCTCTGTTACTATAAGAGACAACACTTGACAGGTAAGGTCACCATCACTCAAAATATTTTAAGATATACCGTTTCTGACAATAAACAGGTATATGAACATTGTAAACAATGTAAACTACTATAACTAAAATGCGTAATCTATTTTAATATATTAGGCATATTAATAGATTTTAATTTATGTTTTGCAAAATAATGTGGGGCTATTTAGCTATTCTGTAATCTGACATAAGACTGCTCATGCAGTAACTAAGAAGCAGAAACTTAACCCATTATGAGGGACCACTGAATACAAAAGCACTGTATTGTTAACAATAGAGGAAGTACATTCATGAAGGTTAAAATGAATGGTGTTCCCCATCAACACCAAAGCGACACTATTGGTGTGTCTATGCCAATGGCTCTTGGGTTTACTTTAATCCAGGATTAGAGAACAAAAACTGGTGACAATATTTTTGGATGATTTCATTAGGCTGACTCCATTATGACAAAATATCCCTGAGCTCCATTTTCTGGATTAATATGAGCCTTCAGTGTGAATAGTTTGAGGTTACATGTGCAATGCTAAATCCCTCACTTGTCCAACAGCTTAAGTGAAGAAACCGGTGACCGGGATTTGAAAACAGAGTCATCAGGCTGCCAAAAATGAGAAACATAATGTAACTTACGTGCAATCTTCTTCTTGAGGCGAGGGCAGACAATAAACCAGACAACAGTGGCGGTCAGCAGAGAGAAGCCCAACGAGATGAGCAGGGTGCCCCACCAAGGGATCTTGTCAAATCCCAGCACTGAATGGCCAGGTGCCATGGACAGAATCAGACACACACACAAAGGCAAATAGAGAAAGGCAATTTTAAAAACCAAGGCAGCAAGTGCTACCCTTCTTAGTGGACAACACAGAAAGCTGACAAACCTAAAACTGAGCAGTTTTGTGGACATTATCTTGTCTTACATTTTACCTAGCTTTAGAAGACAACATCAGGTTATAATCAGAAGAAATTTATTTTTATTTAAATCATTAAATGGCACCAATGAAAGAAAATGAAGTATAGGGATAGATCTATAGCTTAACAAAAACATCTGACCATGTGTGTGATAGTTTGGCCCTGGTTGTTAGCATTACAAGCATGACTGTATTGCCTTATTGTGCCACGTCCTAGTTAAATATGGAAATCATTTGTACCCCTAGATGTGAACTATTAAATGCAAAAACAGGTGAAAGAGCAAAATGTCACTGTGACCCTAAAATGCACTGCTAACACGGCACATAGACAATGAGTTCTCCTTAAAAAGGAGACATTATTTAAGGAGAAAAAGGAGTCATTCACTAGAGCTGTTTGCTGTAGCAATGAGGGCACCCTCTTGCCAAGACTGCAGCAAAGCTGGTGCAGCAGAGGTAGCTATAATGCAGCACATGCTGGCAGAAAGCAACTATTTCCCTGTGGAAACCGTCATCTTTGTCATACAGAGAGGATGCAAATCAGCAGTGTGGTTGGGATAAAACAAAACTGCTGAAAATTCCAACACCACCACCTCTGGTGAGGTGACTCTGGCCGTGCATAATCAAAAACACACAAAAAAAAAAAAAAGAAGAAAAAAAAACACCACTTCCACTAGCTTGGGAATGTTTGGGAAGTTTAAGATAAACAAAAAGGAAATGAGGGCCAAGGCTAAGAGATAAGTGTCTTGGTCACCGTGTTCATTTGAGGGCGAGTCGGCGGTGTACTTTCTCCACAGTCACGCACACTGAATCATGAGACTACAGAGGACCGAACTGATGTTTACTTAGTTATGCAATGGAAGCTCGCTCCTTTCAGGGCTGGAAAAGCATAAGAGGAAAAACGGAAAGAGGCTCTGTAACAGCTGAGGCTCCAGTCTTTCACTAGAGTACATCGGGTCACATGTAGCCAGACATCCAGAGGCAGGTGTGACTCAGCTTGACATAACAGTACAGTAACACCCCAGGGGATTCAACAAACCAAAAAAAAGGACCCAGAGAACGACAAAGGGGCCTGACAACATTCACATGACTCTTTGTCACAGTGACTGGTTTG